CTTGTTGTGCAGTCTTCAGCTAAATAATATATGATGACAAGAAAAGTTAGATTGAAAATCTTTAGCAATTAATGAGTATCTTGGAGACAAATACCTTTCTTCTCCAATATAGATTTGTTTGTCAACAGTGATGCACATTTCAGTTTCAGTTGCTTATTCCTCTGTCTAATACAACTAGCTGGGAAATAAGAATGAAGTTAAATCACCTGAAATGTTTAGTAATCATGTCCACAGTGTTCAGCTAAATAAAATAAAAGACTGGTTCTCATATGATTGCAACAAAAAGTACTTATTTGAGGGTTTTGGGTATCAGGTGGTGAGAATGGGGCCAGAACCCATCCTTCTCCAGCATTGGTGTTCCACAATGGGTTGCATTTATTCAATAAGTTGTGATTGTGGTTAACATAAAATGATTGGTTAACATGGCCATGCACATGTGTTTTGCTTACTGAAAAATTTCTATGTACTTTTTTAATCGACCAAAGTATGATCGGTGGGAAGTGACAAGCCTGTTTTCTGTTTGCAAGATTTAGTGCTGTTCTGTGACATTCTAAGAGATATTAGTCTGTTCTAATTAGTTTATAGATATTTATATCTAGGTAATCTGGATGATGAATCAAAAAGGAATGAATTCTGTTTGGTATATAGGTATTGCTGGGATCTCATCTTAAGTGTGAAATCTGATATATCAAGTGAATTGTACTGGGTCTTTAATGATATTGTGATTTATCCTGCTATGATGTTAAAGTCAATTCATTTCATTATTACATATCTTTTCGTGATTTTAAAATAAAACAAGATTTCCTTCAAATTAAATCATTATAAACTTTCTGAGTTTTGGTCTGGGACCTGGAGCTGATGAAAGCAGGCATGTGAATGGTGTTTTGACTTTTACCTCTTCAATCTGCTTCTCATTCCTTGTTCACCTCATCTGTCAGCAACCCAATTAGGTCTAATTTGTTCTGTTTTCATGATTTTTTTTCAGGTGCAGAATTCATCTCTTGAAAATTACATGGCAATTCAAACAGACATTACACCTCAAATGCGGGGCATAGTTATCAACTGGCTAGTTGAAGTATGCATCCATCTGTTCACAATTAACATTTCAGCACCTTTCCCTTCCTGCTTCTGGTGCTGTTTTCCTTGCTACTCCCATTAAGCTTACCTAATTTTTTTCTGTGGTAATGTATTTTCCTTTCTGATTGCAGGTACACTTTAAATTTGAATTAATGCCGGAAACTCTTTATCTTATGGTCACATTGTTAGATCGATACCTATCTCAAGCCCAAATTAAGAAGAATGAACTGCAGTTGGTTGGTCTTACAACACTGTTCCAACTGCAGTTGGTTGGTCTTACAGCACTGTTTCTGGCATCAAAATATGAAGATTTTTGGCATCCTAGGGTAAAACAATAACATGTCAAATGCACATGATTTCAATTGAATTCTTATTTGAGGTTTTGATTTTTTGTTTGACTACGCACTCATACATCTTTTTCTGAACCATGCAATACAGATCAAAGATTTAATTAGCATCTCAGCGGAGTCGTACTCAAGAGACCAAATGCTTCTAATGGTAAGAGGCCAAACGCTTGTAATGTATGGTATTGCAAATTACCAAATACTAGTTCACTGAAACTTAGTTCTTTGTAAAAGAGATTTTGGATGTACTTGAAAGAAAATTGGCGTTGAGGAATTTTTGAGGATTTTATTCTCCCCTCTTTAGTTGCAGGGTTAGGAATGTAAACATCTTTCCAAGATGTACTTGATCTCTACACTTTCTTCCCTTTGCTGAATTATTGCATAGTTGTTTGTTTGCTTTTCAAATTTTTATAACAGAATCATGCTCCTTATCTTCTGCCCTCTTCCTGAAAGATGATGGCATAAAATTGCAGTCCATCTTGATGTTGTTTTCTCCAGGTCCTAATGGTAATCGCAGCTTGCTTTGCTTTTCAGGAGAAGCTTTTACTGAAGAAGTTGAAGTTTCGTCTAAATGAGCCGACTCCATATGTTTTCATGTTAAGGTTTCTCAAGGCTGCTCAATCAGACATGAAGGTATGTGGCTTTCGAAAGGGTTCTAAATCTGGATATTTTTTATGATATCTTGTTGCATCCTATCTGTTATGGACATATCAAATAGGAAGATGACGGTAGTGCGAACCTCAACCACTGTAGTTGTGTTTTAGTAGAGAAGAGATTCTCTGGTCATAAGGCTGGATATTGGATGGTCATGGACATATCAAATAGGAAGATGACAGGAGTGCAAAACTCAACCACCCTAGTTGTGTTTCAGTAGAGAAGAGATTGTCTGGTCATAAGGCTGGATATTGGATAGTCAATATCAATGATCTTAGATTCTTAGCTGATAAAGGTTTGCATTATTGCGTGTACAATTGTCAATGGCAATCCTAAATCTATCAACCTAATATTCGTTCTTGCTTTCACTGCCAGCTTGAGCATTTAGCATTCTACCTCATTGAGCTCTGCTTGGTTGAATACAAAGCTTTAAAGTTCAAACCTTCAGTGCTATGTGCGTCAGCTATCTATGTTGCACGGGCTACCTTGCAAATAGCTCCAGCTTGGACTCCTCTGCTTGCCAGACACGCACATTATCAAGTCTCCCAAATCAGGTATTACTCGCTAAGGTTAATTTCCATTAGTGGGTACTTTTCCTCCCAGTTGATAATCTAACTTGATTATTATAGGGACTGTGCTGAGATGATATTGAGATTTCAAAAGGCTGCAAGAACATCACAATTGAGAGTCACATATGAGAAGTACATGAGGCCTGATCTCAGTGGTGTTGCAGCAATAAAACCCTTGAGTGAACTTCCGCTTTGATTTTGTTAAAGTAAATTTTTATGGTACATGAGAAGGTTCCCTTGAAATACATGCTTGTACTTCCCCCCTTCTTCAAATTGGTTTTATCACGTCACCACAACGGAAAGATTGTGTGCTTTGTGTGATTGTAATCTCCGGTGACTTTGCATACCAGAGGATACTGCCTTCTTAGAAATTAGATCACTGTAACTTTCTCAAACGTAGTAGAAGTATTATAACAACCTCTTGTTGTACTGTTCCTGTCGCTTTATCTCTTTGATATACTAATATTTGAAGGGATTATAAGCTCTTGCTTTAGCTGGACGACTCAAATCGAAATGCGATAAGAAAACAAACCCTACTGATTATAAATTAAGGCATGAAAATAGAATTCATAGTTATGCATAACTGTCTTGATATAATAGCAACTGAAATATAACGCTTTGAGTCGTCTTGCTAAGGCAATACAGGATTTGGAGAGAGCGCCTGCCTCCCTTTATCCAAGTAAAATCAATAAAAGAATTTCTTAAAAAAAAAAAAAACTAGTTCTTCCTACAAAGCAAATTCAGTGGGGCGGATTGGTATAAAAGAATTTCTTAAAAAAAAAAAAAATACTAGTTCTTCCTACAAAGCAAATTGAGTGCCTAATGTTTATATTCAGTGGGGCGGATTGAAACCAGGCTCTCCAAATAGTTGTCAGTTTCATCAAGCACGAGACTGATCTTACGGAATCATTTTCAAGTTTCGGGTCGAGAAATCATAACAAAGAAATCCAATTGTTTTCCTGTAGTATAATTTCCCTGCCGTTCCACATTCCTTGAACCTCTTCAAATCCACGGAGACGGCGTCCATGCGTGACAAGCTTTGAATAAGATCCATTGTTCGGTGTCCACACAGTGCAATGCGAGCACGCTACCACCATTGAAAGGTAGAGCGAGAAGCATCCATATTGGAGAAAACATAGAATATGTCCCTCCGCGGCCGCCGAGCACGAGCCCTTGTATCCACAGACAGGAATGCGGTTTAACTTCTCTCCAAGAAACTGTACTCAACGTGGAAACCTCTGCAGCAGCCCACAAATCGTAGCACTTTGTGGACGTCTATTTCATGATGGAAACCAAACCCCAAAATATGACTATCACCTCTGAGACAGGGCAGGCGGCGGTATTTTCTTGAGACATAATAAACCGTTGGTAGAACCCACAAGATATTCCCGAACAGTGTTAGCATTGATAACGGACGATGGCACGTTTAGATCCTCGAGTTTAATTGTTCCATCACAAAGTAAAGACATGGCAAATTTTGACTTCCAGCGGCTGTATGTGAGAAAGACACGGTTTGTTATTGGGAGGATGTTTGGGGTGAGTGGTAATAGAGTTGGAGGTCGTAATGAGAGCCAACCACTGTTTGGATACAGCCTTGAATCGAAGTAAAGATTCCACCGGTAATCTAAACCGAAGTTCTCAGATTATGTCTTTTGGCAAACAGGAGTTGTTTGCCATGTTTCGAGAGAACTGGTTGAAGGAACATATGATTCAAGATTTTATAGGAGGATGGTTTTGCTGGGGTCGGCGGGCCATGATAGATCAGTTGATATGCCCATGAAATGTATATACACAAAGGGAAAGGGATGCGTTGGAGATTGGGATACCCAATACTCAATATGCTAAAAAATTAGTAGACTTTTCCACTACAATTTACATGAAGACACGTTTGTTTTGGGGGTTGTAAATTGTTTTGGTAAAACAAAATTCAAACTATTTGTTTGTTTTGGGGGTTGTAAATTGTTTTGATAAAACAAAATTCAAATTATTTTTTTAATAAATTTTAATTAAAAAAACATAACCCAATCATTCTGAATAAACAGAGTATTCATATAACAGATAGGCCCCAAGGTGACGAGCTAGGATAGACTTCGGTTTGATTTTACTGGGATTAGCTATCATAAACTTACGAGTTGGTTTGACGCAATGAATCAAGGTCATTAAAATAACAGACATTTAAGATTGCTAAATGAAAAATTATGCAAACTAAGTACTTTACTAATTCATCATCGACATCGCTCAACATTCAGCCTTACACCAAACAAAAATCCCAGTTAAAAATGCTTATTAAGAACAGAAGAAAAATGATGAACCAAAAGAATGACATGAGTTCACGGTCATGCAATCTAATTACATTCCCTGTACGAATGTCATATTCAAACAATTACAGAACTTTCATGGTAATCGTATCTTTACAAAGGAATGCCATCAACAAGTGCTACACGTATTAATAAGAAACGCATCACCAAAGCAAAAGGCAACCGTGTTTTAAACCTCTGTAGTATAAGGGGACTACACGCCAACAAAATAAAAGGTGATGTTATATTATGTGGCTTGGTCTGTGCAGAGACCAAACCTGTCCCGATGATTTCCAGAACAGACGGAACAGCCAAGAGAATTATCAAAATCGAGAGGCTATGTGGGAGCACATTTAAACCAATCTCGGAATTTTGAACCATCTTTTTCTTCCTTTATAAAGCTTCAGATCATCCAAGTTTAACAGTCGACCCCAGATGCTTAAAACTTCATATTGTATCATCTGCTCCCGGGCAGTGAATGATCCGGATGATTTCTGGATTCATTTCTGCCAGTTGAGGTAGTGGAAAATTCCTAACCAGATGTGTCAACTTGCTTTCCATGGTCATCATCATGAATATTTCTCCTTAACCTTCTTAGCCATATATCATAATCTATAGGATATGGTGTCCCACAAAGACTGTCTACGTAATCAGCAAATGCTTTTAACACAGTTGATACCTCACCAAGCTTCAGCTGAATCAATCTTCTTGACCATGAGGTCTCTCTCCATTGCAATGCCCCCTCAACCGAATCTAAATCAGGCAAAGCACCACCACAGGCAAAGTAGAGCACATATACCAGGCTCTCTGCATCTGAAGCTGAGCACAATTTTCTCTCCTGAAGCGCAAAGGTAGATGAAAAATGGAGATTCATCGCAGGACGATCCCTGTCTTCAAGAATTGCATGACCCCAACCAACAAGAACAAAATAAGGATGCCTCACACCAGACCTCACACAAATTATGTTCTCTGGCCGAATGTCTCCATGCCGAATGTCGGCAGAAGAAGTAGTAGAAAGTGCAGATAAACAATCATGACAACACCTGATAGCCTCATCCAAAGCAAATCTGCCAGCATTTACCATATCAGCAACTGTCTCACCAACAGGACTGGTAACAAGAATAGGGGTACCACACCATGGGTGATCACAATTCCCACCTGAGCTGGGTTTTTGACACCGTCCAGGGTGAACAATCCTGCCAGAAGAACTCAACTGTGGTAGATATTTACTAGATAAACCTTTCTGTCTCATAACTGTCAATATTTTAGTTTGCCTTTGGACTTGGAACCACAAATTCATATCTTCCCATGCCGGTTCCAGTTGAGAAGGATGAGAACCAACATAAAGAAACAAAGATTTACCAGGATCTTTAACAGGCGATGCAATGTAATACCATAGTTCATTATTGTGCACAACATCATTGATCTGATAACCTTTTTGCTGGTCTGAGTCCTCCAACCACAGTACAGATCCTACATCCAGCTTCATTATAAACTCTTCAGACTTTATTTTTATGGATTCATCTGGAACTTCAATGATTTCAGGAGAAACACTCTGTTGCTGAAACCGGAATAGTCCATGGCCATTAACTCTGGAATCCCCTAACTGCCTTGCCACTCTTCTTGTTAGGAGGCGAGGACCATGATCAGCTGCTAAATCTTCAATCGAGTGCTTAGGCATCCCTGAATACTGCACGATACAATGGAAAGTAGCAAAAAGTACCTGTAGAGCACCAATGTCTCCCCAGTTGGCATTTCCAAGTTTGTTCCAGATCCTATCAATAGGAGAGACTGAGACTTTACAATGTTTTTTTATCCAATCCACAGAACAGTCATAAACATTATACACATCAAACTCCAATTTTTCTACATCTCCTTCAACTTTTACAACCCCTCCATATTGAGAATCAACAAGAAGAACATAGGCACAATTAGGACTCTGACAAGAATTCAATTTGCTCAAGCTTCTTGATAGCAGCATGCGTAAAGCATAGAAGAGAGCCTCACCCATAACAGATAAAGAGAGTTTCCGGTCACTTCCTGCAGCAACACTTCTGATATGAGGCCTTAGAAGGGCCAGTTCAAGAATATGGTCCCACTTTCCATAAGGATGTCTAGGGTTGTTAAGTAATACACCAGAGGCACAAAGACCACTGAGCTTTCCACTACCTATTGCTTTCTCAGCCTGGTAGAATTTCAAGTTTTCCTTGTATAGACAAGCAACTGAGAAAGGAATGGGATCATCCTGACTCCAAAAGGCCTCCCACAAGCCCTTCACACTTGCATGTAGAAAGTCTTCAATGGCAAGATAAGCAGTTGCTTCCGCAGCATCAGACGTTGAAGCATAGACAGCATTGGGCATTCGAACCAGCTGCTGAAATGACACCCCTTCCAATGCATAATCAAACTTTTGAAGTTCTCTCAACTCAAATGGAACATCAAATGCAGACTTTTTTTTTCCAGACTGTTCTGATATCAATTCAAACCAGTCTTCAAGTCTGGCTGTCAGAGTTTGACTGTCCACAAACCTTGAAAGAAACTCTTTGTGGATACGAGACCTACTGCCAGATGATACACTAGATCTTTTTGTCTCAGACCCAATCGATTCTTGGTCTGATGATCCTCCTGTCAAATAATAAGTTTGCAGATCTTATTTTTTAGTTGGAGTGATGATATTTCATATCATTGTATTTACAAAAATAAAAAACTTGGAGACACAACAAAGCACTCTCATGGCGAGTAGAGAAGACAAATCACATGCCATGAAAAACTCTGCAATTTGTTTATTGATGATGCTCATAAACACACACAATTAAGAAGTTACCTCATATCATATCATGTTCAGTGCATTCATAGGGAGTTAGATAATAGAAGAGGTAACACTTGGACCCTAGATGGTAAAATGAAATATGAAGGATGGCAAAAATTTCCTTATCAATGAGAACATAAGACTTGGAACGAAATAAATAGCTACAGCCTACAGAACATAGCAATGTAAAGATGTAATAAAATGCCCATATACAAACCTTTTGGAGGAGGGTGTCTAATGTCATGAGACAATAGCTGCTTCATGCGAGAAACATTATTTTTATATGCAGTTACAGCTGCAAAACCAAGAGTATTACTTCAACATATCTCCCAATACTTCTTAAAGAGATTGAATTTAGGACAAAGTTGCATGCCTGGGACTTCAATACCAGCTTCTGAGACTGAAAAATCATAATCATTTACCCCTAAAATGCCCTCAGGCGGGGATTCAAGATTCTTCAATTCCTTTGCTAGTTTCTTGATCATGCTGAGTGGCAGATCTTCATATGCTGCCTTAAATTATCACAAAATAAAGAATAGTAAGACAAGAGAAGTAACAATCCACAAAAAGAATCCATTGTCATGCTTTGTGAATATACTCAATGCAAATAACTGTCTTCTTTAACCAAGGAATTAAGATTTATTGACTAGTGTAAAAAGTTCGACGAATTGTTTTAAAGTTCTCTCCCAAGCAACCAAGAAACAATTGCTGAAGTAGCAAGACATTTTTCTTCATGTTTAGATTGTAAAAAGCTATCCTTGCATGGGCAATACTAGGCCATGACCTTATAAGGCTATTCGTTTCTTAGTTAATACTCGTAACTCATTACATTTCTGTTATCCTTGAATAACCTGAAACAGGGATAATTTTTTCTACTGGATAAGCAAAACAGAAAAAGGTTTTGCGCGGATTTAGATAGATTTACCATGTGTAAAGTGTAGAACAGGACCTTTGTAAGAACTGATATTTGCTGAAAAGAACCAGAATTTCAGCAAATTATGTGCATAAATCTCCCTCAAACTTGCTGCATAACAGTAAAGTAAGTGACCAAGATAGATAATGACCTGCAAATTACATGATGACAGATCGCTTCCAGATAAGAATTAAACACAACTCAGTTCAGTCGAGTGTTTCAATGGACAGTCGAATGAACCTTGCCATCAACTGCACAGTTCACCAGTGTAAACATGTTTGATAGCACGGCATAGGCAATATGTCCAAGAGCCAAGTATGTGATATCAGAGCATCCGGAAGATAAGAAACTAGAGAAGTAACAATAACAATGACATAGGACCCTTCAATAGGTGATTGCCCTTTAACAGAAAGCAGTGAGGACATATACATCAATCGTCATACTAAGCCAGACAATATGATGCCCCTAAATCAAACCCGCAAAGAAATCTAGGCAGAAGATACATTTTGCATAGATGCAAAAAAGGAAATGATCCGCACAAGACCAAGTTCAATCACTTTAAGCATCTGGAACTGCAATGTAGAATTGTCTACCATTAAATCCACACACAAAGTTTCTTCATGGTTTTGGAAAGTAACACAAACTCCCTGTAGTGGATCCTCTTGGTTCTCAAAACTCAACATCTGAACCTTAGATGTAAACTGTAATGGCAATTCATGTACTTTCCATGTGCAAAACCAGAGGCACTCACACAGATATGGAGCCACCTAGATTCCCTAATGTACTAACACTACAAATTCTAAATCCATTAAATCTCCCGAGAAAAACCAATCTTTCTAAAGCCTCTAACGTCATAAAGAGCAGCACTTGTACAGCAGGTAAACTCTCAGAATTTGTAGATTCCTAAAAGGGTTTTCTGTAGCCTTCATTTTGCTATGAACTTTGGAAAGCATAGCCATGACAAACAACCACGTCCAAAAATTAAGCAACTTTACCAATTACGTAGCAGTAGAGTGTGAAACAAGGCATAAATGAAAATTCAAAGCCAAAGTTGAAGTCCTTCATATATCCCAAGAAAAATAAAAAGTTGAAATCTTGAGTCCAGCTATGCCATTAAAGAAAAGAAAAACCCAACAGAAAAAACAATCAAATCAAATGAAACCACCCACTTGATGAAACCCTAAGACACAAATCTCAGAAATCTAAACACATACATAACCAAGAAAAACGAAAGTACCAACCCAGTGAGACAAAACGAAAGAAAATTGACAAAGACAAAAACTTTTCACTTAAAGCGGACAAAAACAGAACAAGAGCAAGGGATCAAATCACTAACAGGTAAGATTATAACTGTAACTTACTAATCAACCAATTTTAAATTAAACATTCATTTTTAAAACATATTAAGAGATAAAAGTGATCAAAACACCAACAAAATATCAAACAGGAAAGAAAACCCATGTGAGAAATTACCTTATCTTCTCCTCCTCCTCCTCACTAAGTGGACCTTACATTTGCTACTCCATTAATTAATCAACACTAGTACACTGTCATTATTTTTCATTTATGGTGGTGCGTATTTTTCTTTTCTTTCGCAGTAAACGGTAGTAAGCGGGATCTTGAAATGCCCAATTTGACCTCCTATGAATATTCGAGTGACTACCTCCAGCCTCGTGCGGGCCACTGCCGGCATCTGCTTAAAGAAAGGAGAAAAGAGAGAGTTTTTTCTTTCTCCTGTTTTTAAGTGAGGGACATGAAATTTTATCTTTTTGTTTCTTCTTTTTAGTACTTCATTTCGCAAAATATCTCACATAAACCATTGCATGATGTTTTTTATTATAAGAGGCGAACCCTTTTCAACTTTTTTTTTTTAATTTTTATTTGTGACCTCTTTTTGTCATTTTTTTTTCATTCCTGTGTTGTTTTTCTATTGATTCATTTTGGCTTTTATTTAATAATTATAGTTTGATTTTAAAATTTTTATATCCAATAAATCATTAAATGATATTTGAAATCATAAATACATGAGCCAGTAAAAGTAAAAAATATAATAAAAATATTACTTGAAAAAAATACTTAATTGAATATAAGTTGCAATAATTATCTACAATGTTTTATTTTTTTTATTCATTATTTAGTTATTTCATTAAGTTGACTTGAAATTAAGATTAATAATTTGTTTTGGATGCCTCCACACAGTGTTCTCACAATTTTGAAATTAATTAAGTGCCGAATATTGGATTAATACTTGATTTTATAAAATAAAATTTAATTTTATTAATTCAAATCAATTAAAATTTTAGGGACTCAATTTGAAATTGAAACAAATATTTAATTTTATAAATAATATATTTATTTTAATTTTCTAACTCAAATCCTAGTTGGAATCCACATATTTATTATTATTTATTAACCCCTGTAATTCTCAATTTAAATATTCAACACATATATAAACTAAATGTTTTTAGCATGCAAGTTCAATCTATCTTGACGGTGAAAAGCCATTAACAATGCCTGTACCTTTTTATGCGCTGAAAATAATAAAAAATAAAAAATCATCTCGGAATATAGTCCGGAGAACAAAACCAGTCCTTAATTAAAGCTCTCCCTCTAATTATTGATACTGCCACCACTTGTAAGCACAGCACTAAAGTGACATGGAACAGTAATGATGACAAAAATCTGTTTCGTGGTTCGTCATGGGTGGTTCGTTGGATCATGCAGGAAAAAGCCGCAATCAAAGGCACATTATTATTATTATTATTAACCCTAAAATTTAGACAAAAGGCACTGTTTTAAACTCACTGAGTTGAGCTTTGACTTGGGTTAAAGCCGGCTGAGTAAAAAAAATAAAATTAACTCCGTATAACAAAAACATGTAAAAAACCAGTTATTTTATTATAAAATATAAAAATAAATTGACTAGTCAGCCATAATTTAGTTGCCATCATCCTGATTATTTTAAAATTATGTTTATTTTTGTATTTTAATTTTTTTTTAAATTAATTTTTTTATTTGTTTTAAATTGATACCTTTTATATTATTAAATTATTTTAATATATTGATATAAAAAAAAATTTAAAAATATTATATTATATTAATATTTTTTTCAAATAAAAAACATTAAAAAAAATCTTAACCACGTTTCAAAACACCCCTTAAAAATCATTGTAAAAGGTCTGGGTCGTAGGGATGTGGGTCCCAAAAAGGACATCAAGATCAGGCGGTTCATATTTTATTTCTCGTAATCGTAATCTGTACGTACAATGACGTGAGATAACGTAACGTCACTGAAAATAATGAACATTCTATGTTCATGACCTGACCTGTAAAGGTCTTCTGCTTACGCGTACCCCATGTTTAACTGCGGTTCAAATTAAATACTAGTCAAAATAATGCTTTTAATTTTGAACAATGCCACGTAGACAAACGGGTTCCAAGCAAGCAAGAAAACTCGTGAGTAGAATGTCTGAACAAGAGTTATAAGCTTATCCTGACGTGGGACAGGGGTCTCTTTCTCTCGTTACCTGTGTAGCTTCACTGGGAGGGAAATGCGAAGAACAGAAAACCTCGAGGTGATGAGAAGCTACACTAAATGGACACAGAACCAAAGTTTCCGCAGACAAAAAGGACTAGACTAGATTGAGTTCAGCAGCAGAACAGAACTTACTTGCACACTGTTCTGCAACCTCCTAGGAACGGTCCTGTTTCTCTTCCACCTCTCTCACAACAATCAGATAGCTTACATCCTTGGAAAAACATGATAAGTTCCTCCCATCAAATGAAGGATGTTCCAGTATGCTGTGGCAATCCTCCAATGAACCCAGTTCTCACTATAAGCTAACTACAACCACATGAGCAAAGAAGAGAAACTGTCAAGGGTAAATCATCTACAGGACAGGCAGCTTTAGTCGTACAAAACCAAATTTTGGTAACTGAAGCACTGAGAAGTCAACAAAATCCAGTAGCACGACTGAGCAACAAAAGATGCTCGAGGAAAAACGAAAGCAATTCACAGCCTAAATGACACCACACTAAACACAGAGAGGAACCGTGGACATAAGCTAACATTTTGTTACGAGACAAATGTGCGAGGAAAAGAAACAGTTGACTGCAGGCACGAAATCCTTGTCATAATACTACAAGATTGGTATACTTGCCATTACAAACTGCTGTAATTCAACAAATAGAAAATAACACAAATGATGTAAACTATGTAGAAAGCCCACTTCAAGCAAATAACACAATTGAATGTACAGAGCCTTTAAACAAATGCATGTATAACACCATTTGCTTGGAGGTAGAATGTAATACACAAATTTTTCTTCCCAATGATCTTCAATGATAACATGCATTTCCTAGCTTTTTGAAAATCATTTCCTTCTAATTTATAAAACTGACAGGCTTGGAGATGTCAGGGCAAAATCAATCTCAAAGAACAATATCGTAAGTTCGTAACGCCAATAACATCACTGTATCATCTTCAAAGAGAGATCCAAATAACGTTCAAAACCAAGAATGACTAGCATAAAAAATAACCATATTTTCACTTGTCAAACGATAATATAAAATTCAAATTTGTGATATAACCATTGCAAAACAAGCTCTGTTTTTAGCGTAATGACTGAACACTTCGTATACATACATATCTGATCCGTATGAGTCATCAAACATGGCCGAGCTTCTCTACCACCACTGATGCAGAAGTACATTGAACTCTCCAGCATCCTGGCCTATGTACATACACCTTATCCTTCAACAAAACCCATTACTTGTTGTCTTCCAATATATCATCCATCATATAACGCGCTAACAATACAAATTTGGTAAATCAAAATCCTTGATATAGATCATATTATAAGTACCTCACTGACTATGAATAAGTGACCATGCCATCTTGCAAAAGCGATTGGCACTGTTCTTGGTCCAATGTCTCTCTAACAGCACGATCAAATTCCACCCATGAAGACAAGCAGATGTCGACAGGTACCCACAAAAAGGTTGGATTAGGACTAGCAGGGCAAGCAGCCACCAAATCCAACACAGAAGCAGGCAGCAGGTTTGAGCGGTTGTGGGAAACTGAAGGCCAAATTATCCACTTTATGATCATAACCTCTCCCATTTCTATCCAATTTATACCTTAGAGTGCCCTGAAACTCTCCCTTGGCCTCCCATGGGACCCTGGGAACACCCTTTAAGTTCCATCTAATCAATATCATATTCTCTTAGGGTTGCCAAATCCTATAAACCTCAAGTGAAATCTCCCAAAACAACATTTTATCATGAAATCTCGATGCCCAAAAGATCAACTTGTTATCAATTCCCGTAAACGTATTCAATGGGTCACTAAACGTGATTCCAAATTGATTCCTGTTGTGTCAAATAATTCCAAATTACCAACGGGTTGAAATTCAATCTTTTTGAAAATTCTAATCAAGATCCTACTTCAAAAAAAATAGGTAAAACAATACTATTAATTTCCGTTTGTATTTGTATTTCCTTTCCCACCATGCAATGGTGTTCATGGAAGACAACCGAAAAAAAGATCGAAAAAGGCAGCTGAAAGAGGAGCGAAGCCAATTTGGGGGGGACCTCTTACGAGACTAGAATAACTGGAGTATTCCAACAAGGGTATAAAACCCTAGAAAAGACGTCCTAGAAATAAATCAAATTGTTTATACAGAAGGAATAGCTATTTCTATTGGGTAAGGCGACTACATCCATCATCGTCGAGTCTTTTTTTCAACTGTTTAGTTGCTTCAAAGAGTGAAGGCAAAAGTTGACAGATGGTAGATCCCTTTGAAGGGAATTGTAAAAGGAATATCCCCTCATTATTCTCCGTTCTCTGTCTTCTTTTGCCAATCCAAGATATTAGTCATGAATGCGTAACAGCAAATCCACAGAATCAATGTAAAAGATTTGTCTGGGCCCAAATAAACAAGGAAAAACAGAGAGAGACACCAAAATTAAATTTCTCAAAAACCAACAACTGAAATGGAATGGGGTGGAAATTAGAGCGCAACTCCTACATCAGAAAAGCTAGAACAATAACAGCAGCTGTGGACGTCCAAGTTCTTAGAAAATGAACATATTGTACAAATCTTACAACTTGCTTTCAGCCACCCAACATTTTGCATTTAAATAAACGCATGTTTAAATATCCAAAACAAATAAAAGTTCAATGAAAGAAAAAGAAATACACGCATAAATAAAAAAGTGGAAGTTCTGGAAGCAGAAGCCCAAGTATAATAAGACGTTCTGCCAGAATCTCAGCACCCAGTTAGGTGTTGGCAACGTCCAGCACTGAGACGCAAGACGGGTAGAGCAACAGAGTCTACGTGAATTATTCATTCCATTTCTTCAGCCATACGAGTCCTCACCACATGCAAATAACCAAAACATTTTCAATTACTTCAAATACATTTCTCGAAAAAATAAAAGAATCATTAAAGAATAAGAATCCAAACTCGAGTACGAATTCTTCAGCAGATATCTTATAGAAGGAAAACAATAAATAAACAGACTTTGTTTTGCTAAAATGTAGGCATCATAGCGAGCCAAGAGCTGATAGCAGACAAAAGCACTGGCTTTCTGAGACGCAACTTTGTTATAAGATCCTCTACTATGTACACAGACACTATCCAGGTTCTCATCAAACAAATGAAAATTCAGAAGGTTTGTCTGGAGAGGACCTCGAAGAAAATTATATTCCGAATTGCATTGATAACCTTGCACCAATAGCTCTTATAAAAAAAAT